CTTGATCTTTCCGTACTCTCTCCCAGCCTCGTGCTCTCTGGTCTGTAAGTGCTGCCGTTGAGTCACTGGAGACTGAGTTGCTTTATAGCCATTGACAGCTTTTATACGAAATTTCTAGCTCGGCAATATTGTGGGGTGCTCCTTGCCTTTTTGATGTTTAAGGCAGAGGGAGGTGTAGTTGGGGTGTGAATCTGAAATTGGGTACGGTGGCACCGTACGGATGAAACTTTTCAGAGAAGCACCAGGTTTTGTAGGCGCAGATGCATCTGATGGAGCAGGGTGTAGTTAACAAAAGCTCATGCCTCTCTAAAGGTGTTACTCTGCCCTTGCCTCGTGTCGAATAAGGCAGTCAAGTTATGTGCCTGCAAGTCTTGTTGATAATGGCCTTGAAAAATGCAGTGACGTTTCTATCGTCATTTCACTAAGCGATGTGATTTATTTCAGTCTATTCCTTATCGGTCAGTTCACACGCGCAGAGGATCCCACGCAAGCGTTAACTCCCCCTCAGTTGCTGTGAGTCGAGAGATGGGCACCTGCGATAATAAAGCCAAAGGTTGCTGTTCCTGAACCAGAAAGGACTAAGGAGATAGAGACGCAACAGGTTTTATAATACGTAGAGCCAAGACTGCTTCCTCTGCTCAAGGGTGCATTCACATTATGTCTCTGACTCCTTCCTAACTCTTCCTTGGCAGCTCCTTTTGGCAAGGAATCGTCCATGTGGCTTAGCCCAAATCATTGGGGTTGGCAAAGCACTTTAGGGATTTTATTTGTAGGTGATGGAGGCAATGGGTTTTGTTGCACACGTGTCCTCTTGCAGTGCTTGAAATAAGCAGGCGTCAGCCTTGTGCTACTGCATGAGGGGTGGGAAGGGAAGCAAACTAGTCCAGTTGGGGGCTGAGGGGCATGAATGTGGAAGCAAAAAGAAAACCCCTGTGTTTTGTAAATGATCAGAGACCAATACAAATGATCAAACCTGTTCCCTTGTGACCCTGTGTCTAGCCGTATGGGCAAGTCAAATTTGACTTGCAAAGACTTGTTTTGCATCCTCACCTCAGTGAGGTGACCTCAGTGCGGGATCCTGCAATAACCTTTTCATTTCATTTGGACGTCCAGGCACATGCCATTTACCCTGTAACCATGTAGGCATAGTGCAGGCTGGCACAGTCTTCCCCGTCTCTTATGCTGGTGTGGGTTAAACTAGCAGTGCTGCCGTGGCACACGGGTAGCTTTTTGTTCTTATGATAGTCTGGCTTGTAAGACTTGTGTAGCATTCAAGATTGCACTGTAAAAGCTAATACAGCACTAATTTCACTGACTTAAGCGTGTGCTGAGGGCTTCCAGCTTGACTCCTGCTTAAGCCCATGGGAGGTGAGGTATTTGCTACACTTCAGGATCAGGCCCCTGCTTTGAAGAAAAAGCACTGTAGCCCCCAAAGCCGTGCCTGTCACAGGATCAAGACCCAAAGCATTTGTGAGCCTGACTTCACTTTCACACAGCAAGATCAATTTTCCATTTTTAATAAAAGCAACTTCCTACTAGAGCTGGCTGAGTAACAACAGAATAAAAACTGCTAGTTGAAGGTATGTATTCAATTTGCAGGTACTTGTACAGCGATACGCTCCTTGTTTGGTATTTGATCCCGAGGGGATCAGATCATTTAGAAAACGGTTGCTTTGAATGCTGGCGACTTTTATTCTTCGGTGCGGTCACTAAAGCCTGACGCATCCTGACTGCGCCCTCTGTCTCTCTACACTTCCTTTTCACGCTTTCTTTCCTGGAATAAGTCATTGTGAGATTTTTCTTTTCTTCTTCTCTCTTCCTTCTCCTTCCCCCCGTCTTATACATACACCGATCACCTCCAGGGACCCACCCGCAGGGCTGGGAAACGATGCCAGGCATATTCTTGGGTCTCTTAACCAAGGACAGAGGTGTCTTCCTTCAGTCACAGGTTTAACTATCTCTCGGTAAGGAAAGGGTGAACCCTATCGCTGGCTGCGGCGGTAGCGCTCCTTCAGTAGCAGGTCCTGCACACCTTGTGACTTGTTAGCTATCCACCCTCTTTGTCACACGTGGTAACTCCTGTGTACAGTCATGGCAGGTGACTCCTTTTTTAAAACGTGGTAACTCCTGTGTACAGTCATGGCAGGGGACTCCTTTTTTGACCGTATTTCTTTTGGCAGAGCCCCTGGCAGAAACCTGGCAGCAGGGGTGACAGATGGGAGCCGAGTGTTCAATGTTAACTTCTAATACCTTATTTAAATGACGTTGTTTGTGTGCAGCCGTGTGCATGTATGTGTGTGTGCTGTATAAAGAGAAAACCACGCGTGATATACTTGGAGCTCTTATGAAATCGGAAGATTTGGGGACGTAGAAAGGATAGTTAGTTGTCATTTTGAGTGTACAGTTCAATTTGCAGATAAAAGCACCTTGGCCTTTGAGACCTGTATTTTAGACGTGCTATCACTCAGGCCAGAAAAGGAGACGGGAATCGGGAAGTAGAGAGTGAACCTGGAATTTGACTAATATCAGGCCTGGATTTAAAGGATCATCTAGGATAATGGGGAATAATTCAAAGACCTCAGGGGTCATTGGCGGCGGGAAGCCGGGGCCCCCCAAAATAATTTCACAGTGGCCGCCGACAGCAGCAGCATCACGGCGCCGCCATGCCCAGCATCCGCGCCGTGCGCTCCTCTGCCCCCACCGCGTATAGCAGCAGCGTGTGCTGGCCCCACAGTGGCCCTGCAGGACGGAGGCACGGGGGTCAATCCCCCCAAATAATATTTTATCCCGCCGCCTATGCTCAGGGTTAATGTTTTGCAGAGAACAGACTGCTTGTAAGCAGAAGAGATCATATGGAGCGGAACAGAAACACGGTGTTCAGTCCTGCTCTGCCAACAGGCTAGGGACCTTTAGAAACATAGAGCAAGAGGGATCACCAGCACCTGAAGGCAGCGATGAGGATGACAAAGGAGATGGGGCTTTGTCATTACGTGCAAAGGATGGGCATTTCCAACATGAGCTTATTTCGTTAAATTGTGAAGGGCAGGACAGGAAAGCTGTTTGGGAGATGGGAGTGTGAAGAGAGTATTGTAAAGTAACACCCAACAAAAATCCGGCGAGTCCTTTTGCAGGCAGTGAGCTGGTGGGACTGCCAACACTTTGAATCTGTTCAAAACTGTGGTGGACACAAAGAGTAGGGTGAGGCATGAGTGGCACCACTCGGTTGGTCAGGTCATCTCTCTTGTGCTGCTCCTAGCATCTCAAGATGATGGTTGGAGGGGAACTTACTGGGCCCCATGCAGACTATTTGCGGCGGTTTTCAGAAGAAGGATCTGCGCCAAACGGCAGCCAGAGTAACTCTGCACGTTGATTCCCGGGAGCGTCTAGCGTGGTTTGCTTAAGCTGGAGGAGGGGGGGAGAAAACCCTTTGGGAGGTGGCGTGGTACAAGAGGAATAACTGAAGTGATGGAGCTGTACAAGAGCTGAAGGTGCAGCTGTATTAGAAGCAAAAGTAGGAAGAGGAGAGAGGAGGGGCTGGGAGTGAGAAGGCACCGATCCCATAGCCATATTGAGGGACGCTGGGGTATAATCGTAAACTGAGAAGGGCATCTACTTGTAGGTACACCTTGGGGGCTACTGTAGGGTGAGATTGCTGATGCTTTTCTGATGTTGCAAGCATCAAAGCACTGTGATTTCTTGGAAATTGGTTGTGCAGTGCTGTAACGCGAAGAGCAGCCACTATGCCTGGCTTGCCATGCTTGAGCGACCCAGAGCATATCAGCACAGGATGCACTCTCTGACCCGAAGGGGCTTTTGGCTAGCACGGGACAAGGCTGTATTCACGTCAAGGCTTTTTGAGGAGTGTCCTCGACTGCTTCTGGATATATTACAACACTTCGTGATTTCACGCCATCTCCTGGGCTGCAGTGTTAGAGGGAGCGGCGACTAAACCTCAGCTTGGGTGCCCCATTTACAACCTGGATAATCAGACCTGATTGAGAGGGACTTGAACTCTCTGCTTATATTGTGCTTTTTGGGTGGAGTCAGGAAGACAAGGTAGAAGATGAGTGACAAAGTGAAGTGTGAAGTAAGACAAGGTAGAAGATGAGTGACAAAGTGAAATTTGAAGACAAGATATTTGCTTTGGTTGGCCATTCACTTCAGTTTGTCTTGTATTTATCAGATAGATAATCCTTGATGGTGATGGAGGCCCAAACAGCAACAACAATGCTTGATGCTTCAGTTTATCATGTTGTGTCATTTTGGGGGTTTTTTTAGAGCTTTTAAGGACTGATAATAATCTGTTTTGCAGCATGTTCTGGGGAGCCTGGCTGCATTTGCAAACAGAGCATCTTAGCTGGCCATGGGATTCGCAACCATTTGTCCTCGCGTATCTGTGGGTAGGACATCTCATACAGTGTTACCAGCAGGGAGAAATGCGTGTTTATACGTTTGTTCGATTCTGTTTTAGAAGTCAGTTATCACGAACGTCAAATTATCGGTAGTTCAAAGGACGATGACAGTAGCTTGAAGTGTTAGCTTAACAGTATGTTAATTCATATTAATTTCTGACTGCTGAATGTAAGTAAGTTGATGGTTTCCTTGGCTAGGTCCACCAGTCCTTCAGATTAGATGTCCAAGCCCAGCTTACTATTTTACTAAGAGGCAAAAAAAAAAAAAGTAGATCTATTTTTACACTGTATGGGAACAGTATGTGCTAAAACATCTTGTAGAACAACTAGTGAGTAGACGGAGGCTGATTTTAAAATTGAGGGTTGTAACCTAAATGAAAAGCCACACCCTCTGAGCCACACGGGTGAATATCTATATCTAGTTGGAAATGTTGCAGCTCTTTTAAGGTGGGATTTGTCATATTTCACTCTTTTTGTAAAAAAAACTGGGATCTGTGCTTGCTGAATAACGTGTGCACAGTTAAGAGAGTATGAGGCAATGTTACAGTAAAATCATGTCTTACAGTTTGGGAAAGTTAACAAGCATAACTTTTGGCCAGTTGACCCCTTTTTTTGTTAGATGAAATGACTGCTTGCACTTAATGCAAAAGCCATGCGCTATGTGCCCTTTATCACAAAGGATACCACATGTAGAAATTAGCATTTTTAATGTATGTTGGGCAGTTAAAGGCAAGCCTTGGGTTTAATCACTATGATTGACTGGTCAGAAGTCTTTTAGTAGCATCAAAAGCGCCAGGAATAAACTCCTACAAGAAGTGAAGACCATCAGAAACCTCATCCCTTTCCAGTTGACCTTCTCCAACATAAATATATGGCTGTGGGCATACTTAAAAAATTCCCAAACCCAAATGCTTCCCAGCGCACACTTCTCCCCACGGGAAGAAGCCAAGAGAACAAGATGCTGATCATGTGCAGCAACACGAGATGGGAAGAGACCTCTCAGGACAGTGTCAAGACCCCTATGACTGAAAGCAACTGAGCAACAAACCCTTGTCCAAAAAACCCACTGCACTAAGTCACAGGTGCTAAGCACCACGTGGTGCATGTAGGGTCTTGAATACAAATTTTAAGGGAAAAAACTCCACAGTGTGTCAGGGAAAGACGGCAGGAGATCCAGGGCACCACCACGTCTGGGAGGTGTTGATGAGTATGATATGAGATCATCCGTCCATACGGAGGAGGAGGAAACTGCAGTCGTGTATGTGCGCTTACAGGGATGGGTATGTTGCTTTGTTTCCTTGTGAGTCAACAGCTGTCAGATTAATATTGCATACCCAATTTCTCTAGCACTGAATAAAAGGAGGTAAAAATGAAAGGCAGCTAAAAAAAATAAAATAAAGAAAACATGCCTTGCAGCGGATCAGTTAAATAGCCAGCCAACTGCAGCTGCATTTAGTTTTTAGAAAACCGAAGATATATAAGTTAGGCTCTTGTGGGTGACTTTTGTAGAGAGGATATACTAACTGCTTGGGCTCCGTTGTCTTTGAACAGTCCCCTTGTGTAGGCACTAAGTGCTTTCGTATCTTGCCCACGGATACATACTCTTAACTGTGAAGCTATGGATAAGAAGAACAGCCTTCTTTCACCTTTCGTGAGACTGAAGGACGTGGCATTCATAACCAAATAATTTTAGCAACCTGCTGTCTCGTGGCAAGTACGTCCGCGTCTCTTTGACAGCATCTGTTTTGAGGTGCATCATCTTAATGGCCGGGCTGCGATTTGATTATTCCAGCTTGCTTTTTGTTGTTGTGATTGGATTATGCCAACTGGCTTTTTGTTGCAATTTTTTTCCTGTCTTGCCTAAAAGAGATTAAATGTGATGGACACGGTGCAGGACCGAGAGGTGGAAGCTGCTGAGTTTTAATTGCGGTTCCACACCCGAGCTAAGGAACTGTAGGCAAGGAATTGACTTCTGTCCTTTTGTAAAAAAGCAAATCGGGAAAGCACACGATATCCAAAAAAGGGTATATATAGCACTAGAATTTTGTCATGCTTTTCTGATTTTCATAAGGCTCTAGTGATGTGTATTTTGCTGTCTCTGATACTTTGGACATGGCCATACTTGGAATCTTAAAGAACTTCAGAAAGTGGAACTGTTCAACTGCAAGCGTCAGCTCAAAAATATTTAAAAGCTATTCAAATTATTACTTGTTTGGTATCTCTGGGATTTTTTGAGACGTGTCAGACCCTCTTTCCACCAGTCCCTTCCTTAGAGTTGTTAGCTAGGGGGGTACAGGCAGATCCACCCATTTGACTGGTGTCTAGAGCTGGCTTAAATTAAAAGTCCACTAGATACAAGTAGGTTGCTTGACATCTGTGAAAGTGGCTGCATCTTTTAGTGCTCTTGAAATTCAGGCCATTTATCTAAGTGCCTAAAGACAGATTTGGGAGCCTGCTTTGAAGTACCCATTTCTGTAAACCGTGGTCTAAGTCATTTCTGGACTATATGTTTTATTAGTGCAAGTGAACATCAAGAGGGAGACTGGGAAAGGTCTACGATAAGCACAGTTAGCAGCGAGCAACCGAGCCCTAGCATCTAGCCATATCATTAGGCAATTGAGAACAATTTCAGAGTTTCTCAGCATTTATGCTGATATGAAAAGGCAAAGGATTAAAGATGCGGGATCCTTGGCAACAACACAGAAGCTGTGATCCATTTATTTGTGAGGATAAGCAACAAATTATTCTCAGGTGGCAGCAGATTTTGTTATAAAACTCGGAGCCGAAGACTTGAAAAGGATGTACTTGACTGGCTGGAGGAGTGGCCTGCGTCACCACCGTATTCCCATCACCCGATAGTAATTGTTCAAACTGCACCCTTTGGAGACCAGCCTGTTTCAATCACCATCGTTTTCCTGCAGTGGGTTATTACTAGATCTTAAAACTATGCATTCCTCTTTTCCCTGCCATAAAGGAAGATCTTCCTCTTGCGTGTGTAGGTCAGGGTAGAAAGAGCCAGCGTACAAAGCTAATTTGAGCTGCTTTAACCAAAGTCATTCTCCAGTACCAGCTCTGATAGAAACCTTATGGTTGGGAAGCACCTTGCATTTGTGAACCTGATCCAGAGCTTTCGTGGCAAGTCGAGACGGACCGAGCTCCGGTGTCTGCTCACGATCTAGCTGTGCCGAGGAGCAGCAGCATGAATTTTATGAAAGCTGTGATCGTTTCCGTAACGGCAGCGGTGGAAACCTGGCCAGGGCACTTTCACTCTGGGGTTTGGTGCAGCTATAGACTGTGTTGGGCTCAGGCATTGTTAATAGTGTGGGCAGGGGGAAGTGCCTGGAAAGGCAAAAATAGTGGGTAACCTCATCCTTGTAGCATGAAAAGGCTGAGGGAAAGTGAGTCTTGGGGACCTCAGCCCCAAGTCGGGAAACTCTGGCTGTACAAGAGCTTGCACCTCCACACTTCTGTCAGCAAGATGTGGGGAAGGACCTTCACTTACATCAGTCTTTTCCTAGTTGGGCTCTGATTCGAAAGATGCAGTCTGTAAGCAGGGCCCCTGGACTCCGAAAGTCCTTCTCCCTTTCCATTCCCAGACACTGTGGGGGCCCTGGCTCTTTCCCCTAAAACTTTGGTAAGCTGCTGCCTCCTTCCTTGCGTCACTGGGTTAGTAGGGTTAGGCCTCTAGCTATCAGAAGGCAAAGTTTGGAAAGTCCTGGTTAGCGGCTTAATTATTCAATGCCTTTACATTAAAGGAGCATGTGACAGCTGAGTTGGCTATGTGAGCAAACCGCCCTACTTGTTTGATGTTGATAAAGGCAGTGGAAATCGGTTCATTAAAAAGGGAATGTGATGAACTGAGGTCTAATGGATCTCTTAGGCTGTTGTAAATTGGTGTTGGCATGCTCTCCCCAGCTCCTGCCGAAGCATATTATGGACATAAATGAACATGTCAGTCTTCTGACTCTCCCCTGGTTAGTCTCTTTTTTTTTTCCCGGTGGCAGATAAAATGCAATCAGACTATTTCACTTGCGGCATCAAGGAATATTCAAGTTCCCTAGCCCTGGCTAGCAAATGATACCTTTCCAGCAAGAAGCATTCAAAGAAAACTGCAACCATCTGGCCAGCCCAGCAGCATGCACATTGTTGTACTGAATACATTACAAAATATTTTAAAGGTAAAATTAGGCTAGCAGGGATATTACTGGTTTGCAGCAAATTACTCTAAGTTATAACAGTGTTATGGGGATATCTAGTGGTACAGGTTAGAAACCAGGTTACCAGTCTGATTTCCAAAGTGTTTAATAGCTGATGGCTCATTAAAACTTCTAAAAAGTGAGACACTTTTTTTGTTAACTACACCACCATTTTAAAAACAGAATAGTAGCTAGGTTATAGCCCCTTTATTTCTAGACTCCCAAATTATATCCATTTTTATTACGGTGGCTAATGCAGTCACTAAGCTGGGAAACCCCAGTGGAAAACTCGGTGTCATTTTAAGGACTTTGATCTGATCAGCAACAGATGAAGGTAATTGCTATTATATGTTAAGCTGATGGTTGCAAGTGTTAGGAAGGAATTTTCCCTAATTTCAGAGTTGCCAAACTGACTGATGGCTTGGCTGAGTTCTTGGCTTTTTTTCTGTGATTTCTCCACCCTCCTAGCACCTCTTTTTCTGACCTTGCCTTGAAACATTATGTATTGATTATTTGCAGTTGCGCAGTCTGATTGGTCTGCTCAGTTATCTATGTACCTATTTATATTGCTCTCATCTCCATAGCTGTGGCAACTACCATGTTCTGACCTTGTGAAAAGCGATCGACTGTATATGGGTGCAGTTTTTCTCTGCAGATGTTGGCATCATCGCTTTTTTTTTGCTTCACTTCTGGTGCTTTTAGATGCTTGCAGTATTTGTACTAATATTATTTTTTAATATGGTGGCACTTAGAGGCCAGTCACATTGGGAGCCCTGTGGTGTGCTAGATGCTGTACAAATATTAATTGGCATCATAGCAAAAAGCAGCTTTAAAAAAAACAAACAAAACTTATTGCACGATTCCTCAAAGAGTAGGGTGATGGCAAGTCTTAATTGAGCTGAACTTGCAAATCTGGTTGCGGAGAGAATATGATAGAGGTCCTTCTTAACTGTTGCTGGAGACCTGGGAAAACTGGTTTTGAGTTTAGGGGAAGCAGGCAGAACTTTTGTAGACTCAATGACAAGTGTTAAAGTATCTTGCTCGGGCTTCAGACTTCAGTGAGTTCTGGGTTTGCCGTGAAAACCATCCCCAGTGGACCTGGCTCTTAACGGGTATCTGGGTCATTTAGGTTGGGGAGCCAAAAGCCAGATCCCTCCCTACTGTCCTGTTGGCTGCTTTGGGCTAGCATGGCCCTTAACCATGCTAGCCCAACGAACTGCATAAGCTCAAGGAGAGGTTTGAACTTTAAACTCTCTAGAATCTTTCCAGGAAGTGGATACGTTTGAACTTGGAAAAACAATTGCTCGTCATCACAATTATGCAACTTTCCCCTTGCCCAGCTGGAAGCTAGGAAGTGAAAGAGCCAAGTATAAACTCTGCCTTTCCTTTCTCACCTAGACTTTCCTTGGGTGCTTTTCCCTCCTTCCAATTATCACTTCAGGTCACTATTAAAGTGGATAATTCCACTGACTTGCCCAAGGCTGCATTTGGCTGTGATTGCTCTTTACTGAGTAGAGCAGTGGGTTGCAACCTGTGGTCCATGGACCCCTGGAGGTCCCCAGACAGTGTCTGAGGGGTCTGAAAAGATGACCGTGGTCCATCAGAAGTATGTGAATACCCACATTTACAATTCAAAGAGGTCTGCACCTCCATTCAAGTCTTTTTTTTAGGGGTCCACCAATGAAAAAGGTTGAAAACTACTGGAGTAAAGGGTGTAATCCTGAATTCGGGAAGGGTGAGACCGAAGCCTCGCAACATTCCCCTTCAGGTGGCTTATTTTACTACTTCAAGCCTTTGTGGAATATGTTTGAAAGGTTGGCGTTTTGTTTTTTTCTCTTTCCCCTTTAAATACTCTATCCTAGGCGTCGGCAACATTTTTGGGCAGAGAAACGCCCACAACATAGACTTGTAAGATGTTGGCGTGCCAGGGGTGGACAACGGGGGACCCATGAAGGGCCCAATTTTCAAGTCTTTCAGTTATGCCAGCTCTTGAAAGAAGCATGCAAATAGCTTGATGTCAGCTCTTTTGCTTCTGCAAAGTTTGTCGTCTCCAGCCACCAAATATTAAGGCTGGAACTTCTCAA